TTTAACAGACAGTAAGTTGAATCTTCCTAGTATAATTGTCTATAGCATTTATTGTTTAATATATATATATTACGTCTTTCATTTTTGAATTCAAATTTGAAATCATTCTTCGTGATCTTTTCAAAAGAATAATGAAATCAACAATAAGAATAATGTATAAATTTGGCATATATTTGTATCTTTAACGTAATGATTTTCTTCTTCATTCAAATATTTAATTGCGCCTGATCCTATCTATTCCCTGCTCCTTTAAGCCTTTACTATCTTAGCTTCCTTTACTACCTTTAAGCTTCCACTAGCTATTATGACTCTACCCTCAGTTTTTGCGAATTCTTTATTGAGAAAATCTTCATTATTTGTCTTATAGCTTGTTGCACAGAAATCAATATCAAATTTATCATCTACAAAACGTTAAACAAATATTAAATATTAAACAAATATTGGTTAAGGTAAAATTATCTTAATCTTAGGAGCATTACATCTCCTCAATGTTAGGAGAATACAATCATGTTAGTAATGAGCATGAAATTCGAATTAAGAATTTTACGATTAAAGTTATGATATACTTGATGACTATAATCTTCCTAATATTATTTAGTCTTTTGGCAAAAACAATTTTTTTATTCCTACTCTATCTCGTTTTGTCAGTGAAATTGATGAAGATATTTTGCAGCTTTGAATAAATTAATGAATTTATATGAGCTGCGTCAATTGAATCACATTTGGATCATACTGTCAATCTTGGAGCTGTATATTGTTGTTAACTATCTATAGCCAATTATGTTTTTAGTGATACATTCTTATTAATATAATAGTTAAGATTTATGTATTTTACTTAAATTTAAATATATAATTGTAACGAATTGATCACATTAATTAAAACTAAAAAATTGTTTCACAAGAAATACTACGATGACAAATTATGCTCTATACTATGACTTATTATAATAAATATTTGGAATTTTTACAAAGTGAGTCGACTTATTATTATAAAGTGAAGTGTAAAAGCAGAACCATATACAGAAATATGGGTGTATAAAATAGTATAATTCCAATATTAAATGTTTTTGAAAGTTTATTAATTCGAGATGATTGACAAAGGAATTACTTTCTACTATGTCAAACGATGTTAAACATTTAATTTCACCGTAATTGCTAATCTTTTTTGTACAACATTTTGAATCAATTTACTTAGATCATACACTGTATTATTAGTGTCACACAATACATATTAAATATTTTCAATCAGTTGCTTGTGAAAATTGACATTAATGAACTGAACAATCTTTATTAAAGTATTGATGATGGTAATCCTGCTCTATCCTTTAAGGAATGTATTCATTCGTTTGAGTTTTTTTACTCTGGCATTATATATAAGGTACACAATGAATCATTTATTACTAATTATAGATTGATTTCACTAATTAATATCATAATTAAGATCTTTGAATCGATTATCATCAAGAAATTGATTGGATTTCGGTTGGTTTAGTTCGTAGTTGTGACATTTTTTAATTACTTATAAAATGCTGGCAACATGTAGATGACAACAAACAGGTAGATATTATTTATATTGATTTTAGGAAAATATTTGACTTAAGTTTTCCTTTATCAATGCAGAAGTTTACAATAATAAGCCTTTCGGATTTATCATTCATATTTACGATTATATCACTAGATGTGATCGATGTGTTAAGGTGTGTCCTTGTTAAGATACATATGTACTTGTCCTCAAGCATTTGTATTAAACCATTCTCAAGGTTCTCATCCTCTCATTATTATTATTATTATTATTATTATTATATCACAGGAAGTTCCTCTCATTATTATTTTTCATTTTGTTTACTAGTGAAATATGTACCATTTTTTACAATAATAGGATTTTATTATATACGAATGATTTAAAATTGAAAATCCACAGGAGAAAGAAGGAAGTAGCTTCAACAAATTTTGAGTTCAAAATTTTTTTGCATGCTCCTATACGTACTCCTCATCACTATAGCTATGTCTCATTGCGAATTAAAATTTTCTGAGTTTCATTTCGATACGTAAGAAAATATAAAATTATATTATATATTGAAAAATAAATTTTCGTTTTCTAAGAAATGGTAAAACTACATTCCCTATTTTTCTCGTAGGCCCTTCAATTTTTCAAAGTTATCTCGTTCATTAACGATACATCTCGAACATGCATTGGTAATAATATAGTGAATTAACGTTGTTACACGTTAAACAACAAAATTTACTGTACATATCTGACAAATCAAATTAACTTTGATATTCTATCTCATTTAGACCCTTATTCTATATATTCTTAAGTCGAGATTTGGCAATAATATCATTAAAAGAATTTATAGTACCGCAAACAAGTACATTGACTGAATTGAGTTTTTTCATGATCCAAAAATAAAATATAAAAAGACTGTGTTTATGGACTAATATAAAAATTTTTTGTTCAACTCTGGCGTTAATAATTTCTTGCATATTTAATAAAATTATGCAAGAACTTATGAAATTTACATTGTACAAGAATCTAAATGAGATTTTTTAAGTTTCTAATATTTATTAAAAAATACAAAATAAATTTATGTTCTTTGCTCACAAATAAAATTTTATTAGATATTATTGTATGTACTTGAAATAATGTAAATAGACATTTTATTGGTGACAGACATCATATCCTCTGATATGATACGCAATAAATTGTTGCTAGCTGTTCAAATCTATGCAGATCTGATTCCTAAATTAAAAGAGTTTTGTTGTTCTGTTAGAAATGATCGAAAACTACCGTTTTTATTTACGAAAACAAGCAAAAAACCAACAAATCAACACAAAATTTTTAATGCTACATTAACTTACACAAACTACGTACAAATTGCAATTTTGGAAATTATTTATTTATAACAGCTCAGAGAAAACAATTCATCTGCAGATTTCTAAGCAAAAGAGCTCAAACATGATGGTTAGTAATAAAAGAGTTAGATTTTTAAGTTAGAGTTAGAACTTTTTAAAAAGAAAGAGGCTACATAATTGCGAACTGGTAGATTTGGCGGGTACAACTAAGGGAATAATGAAGGATAGATGATATGACACTTCACAGTCATCAACAGACACGACAGCCCTTTTATCTACTATGTGTCACGTCAAAGACATATACGGATAACGTAAACATATGAAGCGAGTACATTTCATTAAATACATAAGCACGATGCGTTATGTTAGACGTGTATGCTTAGCGTATGAAACAAATGGACGCCTTCTATTTATGAAACGCGAATCGCGTACAGATATTCATGACGGCATGACGAATGCAAATTGCGATGATGACACTTCATAGATAGTCTTATTGTTTTATATTGATCGTAACAGTGAAGTGTGCAGCAAGCGATATTTCGTCGTATACACTACAGATATCTTTGACGCGATCGTAGACAATAGGATAGAAAGATGCAACTCTACGATAGCAAGGATAAAGTACGCCAACTTTCATTCCTGGTATATGACACCAAAAACATCATATATACGTATAACTACTAATGTAATTTGTTTTTTAGATACAGTGCAAGCAATTGTAACCTAGATCGCTTTACACGGCGTAAAAATTGTGATACAGTAAAACATTTGGCCAAGGTATACGGAAAGGCAAGAGCAAATTTCAAACAGTTAAAAGATATTCTTCAAGTAGAACATATTGAGCATCGAGAAACTTGCAATATAACAGTCAATATAAAGGTGAGTCTAGATTTGTTACCGTACTTTGTTGTATTCCCGTTGCCACAGTAAAGTGGGGATTGTTGTGGAGCGCGAGGAGAGCGGTGAGTAGAGGAATAATCTCGCAAGAAACAAGATCAGAAGATGGTCAACCCATCCCATTAATAGAAATAGACAAAGAAATGGAGAATTTTATCGTTTATATCTAAAATTAAGAGAACATTCTGAGAAATTTCAACAATATTTTCGAATAAAAATTGTAACATTCGACAACATCTTAAAATTCGATGGAGCAATTTTATTCAGAACTCTATTAGTGTCGAAGAACGCTTAGTCGTTACCATAAGATAAATTTAAATTAAGAAATCAATGTTACATATTCAATTATGCGTAAGTACTTTATTACAAATGATTCATTAAATAAAATATTAAATTAAAGTTAACGTTATAACATAAAAGTTACATAATATAAGAATTTTATGAATAATATAATATATAATTAAATAAAATGAGATCACTTGGTTATAGTGTTTGTGGTGTACCGTAAACATGTCCATACACAACATATCCATCATCAATAGCATTCTTTTCTCATCCGAAAGTTTTTTTATATGGGGAATGAGACTCTGAAAAAACCGAATATCTTCATTTTGATCTTCAGTTAGCAGTTTTAATTTTTGTTTTTCCAATTCCATTAATTTTGACCCAATATCACTCATTAAAAGATTATGTGGTCTTTTGGATCTTTTCTTATGACTGCTGCTGCAACTGGCAACAAATGGGAATGGAGAAGGGCTGCCATCCTCAAATATACTTTCATTTGGATCTAGCGCAGGATCTACAGGTAAAAGGAATATTGTTTCTTGCGAAGTCAAATTTCCTTTATTTTCTCGAGGAGTAAATTGATCCTTGAGAAATAACAAAGTCTTAAAATATTGCCAGGAAGATACTCCTGCTTCATTTATTTGCTGATTTTCATGAAGATTTTCGGTATATTCTCCAGTGCTATCCCCTGACTGCGATTTTATTTTTTTACTTTATTTTTTTGTGTATCTCAACACGAAATTTATCTCTCAAATTTTTCCATTTGTTTTTAATTTTCTTACCTGAAACAAAAAATTACAATTCCCTTTTTTCACGAACCATAGTTTTTTTTTACCATTGTTTTGTAGATTCCTTGGGACTGGTAAAAACTTCAGAAATCTTTCTTTGACGTTTAAACCTCATTACTATAATAAAAATCGTAGAATCAATGATAACTTTATTGGGAATGTTTTCAGTCAATCCACATGAAATCTCTAACTTTTGAAGATTTTTTGAGAAATGCAAATGATTTTTATATTTGGAATTTCCCAAATACAATTAGTGCAATCGATGGGAAGCACATACGTTTAAAATGTTCACCCAATTCTGGGACAATGTACTATAATTATAAGCAATCTTTTTCTATTGTTTTGCAAGCGATTGCAGATGTTCATGGAAAATTGATAATTGTGAAAATTGGAGGATACGGAAAGCAAAGTGATGATGGCACTTTTCGTTCTTCACAAATGTTTGAGTTAATGAAAAAAGGAAATTTAAATATTCCTACAAACTCTCCATTATCGAGAACATCAAATCCAATGCCCTTTTTATGCCCTTTGCACTTTGGAAATGAAGCTTATCCACTGTTACTGAAACCATATAATCGAAAAAATTTAGATCCACAAACGGAGTACTTCAACTCTTGTTTTTCTAGAGCAAGACTTATTGTAGAATGTGCATTTGGAATAATGAATGCCAAATGGAGAATTCTTTGGAAACCAATAGAGACATTGCCTGCGTTTACTGACAATATTGTCAGGTGTATATGTGTTCTGCATAATGCAATCATTGATTTGGAAGGGAATGAAATCCTCGAAATGTTTAACGAGCACAAAATTGTGAGAGAAGTGCAATAGGAAGAAGTAATAATAGAGCTTCAGGCGTTATTGATGAAAGGAATATTTTTAAAGTTTTTCTTTGACGTAACAAAATCTGATTTTATGTAACGGCTTCAAAATAAATAAAAGTGATGATAAATTAAAAGAAAAATTAAAAATATGGTAAAACTCAAACAAACGCGACTCCTGATTTACGACTATAACGTAGTTAGTAAACGATCCAATACATGCGATATTTTGTATCAGTTTTTATAATTATACATTTCAAAATATATTCATATATTATTAATACACTGTCAATATATGAAAAATTTATCAAATACATAAATTGATTATTATACTTAATCTACTTGTACTATGCATTTCCGTTGCCACTTCTTTCCGATGATCTTTGTCCATTTGGACTCATAAGACACGTCTTTCATAAACTAAACTTATTTTTAATTACTTATTATTAATTTATCAGACATGATTAATGCACGCAAGAGTGTTGTAAAAAGAATGAACGCTTTGAGGTACTGGATGTAGACACTCGCGTGAGTTCCTGAAAACTACTGACCACTCTGTTGGATTGTTAAAAAAAAACTAACTTTAACTGTCTTATGGGTGGTCTTATACATAATAGTAATAGATTCCATTATGTTTTTCCCGGTCACGGAACTAGGCAAGCAGCTAATTGATTCCAGATGTGTCGTTGAGCGAAATCGGTTTCGTAAGGTCATTGGGACTAGGATGCGTCCCTTGCAATATGTTTCACATTTATTTATGGCGAGGACAGTTGCGAGAAAAAATTTATTGAGCCTTGTAATTCTCGGGAGTCACGTATGACTACAACAATGAAATAGAAATTAACGGAAGACAGAAGTATGGTTGCAAGAAGTCCCTGCCGTGAAGAAAATTATAAATTTGAAAGTTATTATCCCTGACTCGACGAATTTGTTTTTTCGCATCACAGTTTGGCTCTCACTATGTTTAGTAAGACCGAACAATAAATGATACAATGAAGAATAATAATGGATACAATTAATGAAAACGACATAAAACAGAAATAAATACTTCGATTTTCAATTAAATGCTATCGAATGCGGTAGAATGCGATAGAATGCATCCGAATGCGTCCAAATGTTGCCGAACCCGTTGGTCTCCGCTAGGTAGAAACAAACTTTTTTGATTGCACCGCTATCTACGCCGCTATCCTCACAGCTTTTCCCTCGCCGCTCCACTATGAACACTTCCATTACATTAGATTGGTTTGTTTTGTCGCGACGCTCGCCTCGCCGCTCCACTATAACCGTTCCTAAGGGAAAGACTCGGAGGAAAAGGTTTTAGTTATTCAGTCAGTCACAACAAAGTTCAACGTTATAGTCACAATAGTTATTCAGTCAGTGACAACAAAGTTCAAGGTTATAGTCACAATAATTATTCAGTCAGTCACAACAAAGTTCAAGGTTATAGTCACAATAATTATTCAGTCAGTCACAACAAAGTTCAAGGTTATAGTTACAATAGTTATTCAGTCAGTCACAACAAAGTCAGGGTTATAGTTCAATTTCAAGTTAGTTACAAAGAGTTTTCAAATAGTTAAACAGTCAGTTCATACTTATAGTTCAGTTAATCAGTTAGTCACATATTAGAATTATTCAGTTCAGTCACACAAAGGTAGTTCAGAGTTATAGTTCAAGTTAGTTCAGATCAATTATTTGTTCAACATTCTTGACTAAGCAAGAATTGTATAGAAGCCATCAGGCTCAATAAATAAATACAAGTCCACAGAATTAGTTTCATTTTCATTTCCACATCAGTGGGTGGTCCTTCGTGCCCAAGACATATCGCAAAGATGGACGACATCAGTCATTATTGACCTTAATATTAATAGTAACATTAATTAATTAACTACTCGGAAAGAGAAAATGCAATAAAATAAAATTGAAAATTCCCAGAAGCACATACCAGTGTAGAGTGTGTTAATTACGCAACACTGCTAACTATTAATTTATGCACTCATGTTTTAATGTACGCAATATGTACTAATGACTGCCAAGATGTGATCACTATTTATTCAGTTTTTTGACTGCATCATAGCCACAGATTTTCCAATGGAAAAATTTGGATCATTTTATAAAAGAACTGAAATGCGATCATTTGTCAACAGAACGTCAATTTTTCAAATGACTTTAATAAAAATGAATATTTCTATATAATACTATAATATTGTTAAAAATGAAATACTTGTGATAGTTGTTAATCGTAACATTACAAAGTTAATGGGAAATTGACTTAAAAAATTGACTATTTTAACTTTGAAAAAAAAAAGGATAATAAATTCTACTATTAAAAAAACGAATCACGATAATAAATTTGTAAAACAAATCACAATGTCTTATAATTCGCAATACTATTCGCAATACTGTACGAAGAATGCAACTTCTTTGCACATGAATTGATGTGTACATCCACAATTTCAGTGGAAGAATTTAGGCCAATTGATGAGTACAATACTACATGAACAAACATCATTCGTGAACGCAACGCTAATTGAGAAAAGAATTTTATTGTAACTATCGTAATAGAAGTGTATCGCAACACTAATTTTTAGAATGAATATAATAAAAATAATTTCAAACAGATCAATTGACTTCAAATGAAAGAAAACTCAAGAAATTCTAATAATATTCTTCAAGAAATTATCAAAATTCTAAGAATGAACGCGATATCTTGTAGTTCGCAACGCTAAAGTGAATATAAAATTTTTTACAGCTCTGTAATACAAAACGCGAAATTTATTAACCAATGTCAATCATTCGCAACTCTAATTCAAAACGCGAAATTTTTATTAACTCTTAACTTTAATTCAAGTCGCAATTCAGACATCAATTATCTGCAACATTGATGAAAATCCGTGACATGAAAGAAAAAAACTATTACTATATATGTTAAGCGAGCATAATGACAAATTAGTAACAAGAATGACTCGTCATGCTCTAAATCGACTGAATGATCCAGAGAAAGAGCCATTAGTAGACTCTCTTCTTATTTTGTCGGATTTGAAGCCTCTTTTTTTCCTCGGCGATCTAACTTACATTTAGGCTCGGGATTCTGTAGTCGGATAAAAAGTCACGGAATTATCACTCGCATTACATCGGTCATAATGATCATTGCCTCTATATAAATACAAAATTTCAAGCGCAATATTTGTTCAGAAGGTCCACTCTCGTGACCACAACCGTGTCATGGTGGTAAGAAATGATTACTCCAAATAAAATTAATTAATGATTAATACACCAGCACTGAACGTTCGTCACTCAACGTCAAGAAACGTATCTCTGACGTTATAACAATTACACGATTATTTCATTGCAGCGATCAATGATTTGTTAAATTAAAGTATCAATTGCGCAATACTGGATATTAAAATACAAAGAGGTTCGACAAAGTACAAAAATAAAAAGTTCTAGAGAGACTTTTCAGCTCGACTGACTTCTTTGATTCTTTAGTCTCTTATACAGGTTCTTTTATTTCAGGAGCCTTTGCAGAAGAGATGGATAAGTTTGATCGTGATAACCGCAATGATAAATTTAGAAGATCGATAGGCGAAACCAGAGACGAGGAACGCTCCTTCGTACTCAGTTTCATAATTATTCACTGTTCAAATAGTTCCAGAAGCAAATTGAATCCTTGAAAGGGAGATTTATCCGATCATAGAATGTGCCAATCTGCTCTGGTCCTACCTACTTATAATTAATATAACACATAAGAAAATATACCTAACTCTGTAAAAAGACAAGCACATTAACGCAAACTCTACGATTCTCACATACCATTCCAAGTTCAACACTTTTCCGCACAATAAATATGTATCAATTTCCTAAAATCAGGCGATAGCGATCATTGCGTGAATCGCAATAAAAATTTATTGGTTCTTTAAAGAAATGTACATATTTCTTTAAAGAACGTACATTGACTGACTAGCTATGTTATGTAATAAATGGTCCATTGGAAATTTGATAGCATTAGTGGCATTTGAATATTAATATTTGTGAATTTATTGAATGTTAATAAGAATCGAAAGACGTAATTCCATGGCCTAATCACATAGAGACAATGCGGAGATTACGTCGTACGTGATACAATAGATATGTACATATATTAGTTATTGTCAGTCGTTTACAAAGAAACAGTTTTAAAATTACGGTCATCGTGCCGATTGCCAGTTGTTCGATTTTCCGTAATTCTAATTATTAGAATTATGTGTGCGAAAGACGTTAGGCTTCTAAAATAATTTATTACTGTCTATTTTTAAAATGGCCGCTAACATGTGTGAAGACAGCCTTATCATCTAAATTCAGCCAAGATCCACTACTAACTCAGAAGCCAACCCAAGAATCAGCAAATGTTCACCAAATATAGAAACAGTCTTATCACCTAAATCCAGCCAAGGTCCACTGATACTGACTCAGAAGCCAACCCAAGAATCAGAATTATGCCTCAAATCCAGCCAAGATCCACTACTGACTCAGAAGCCAACCCATGAATCAGCAGATGTTTACCAAATACAAGATACCCCTTCTCTATCTCATGAAATCATATATATACCCAAGTCAAATTATGAATAAACGCATTTTTGTTCGCTTTCTCGTCAAGTTTAACCCTCCAGTTTGTGCTTCTGCAAAACCCCTTCGTTATTATTATTATAATACTACGCGATTATACGCGTTGGTATTTAATATTAAAAAGTGTTGTACTTAGAATATTAGAGTCTAACTCTAGAGTTAGCCAAGTATTAATATTCCTTAAAGTCATCGTGATAATAATCCCGTGACACCCGCATGCCTGTTATTTTTAATGTCCTCTAAAAACGGTCAGCCTCGATCATTCTATCGGTGTTTAATGATTTCACCGTTTTTAGAGGAATTTTATCAGGACAATCAACAATTCAAAGTGATTGGCCCGCACTCGTCATCACTTTCCTACAAAATAGGCCCACCGTCAACGGGGAAATTAGTACGTCAGATTCAAGA